CAGGAATAAATCCCACTTGGTCATGGTGTGTAGTGTATTTAATATGTTGTTGAATTGTTTGCTATAATTTTTGCTGAGAATTTTTACTCCAATGTTCATAAGGATATTGGTCTGTAGTTTCCTTTCCTTGTAGTGTCTCAGGGTCATGCTGGCTTCTTAGAATGAGTTCAGTCCTTCCTCTTCACGGAGCTGTCACAGTGCGAGGAAGACCGGTGTCAGTTTCCTTCAGACATTTGCTGGAATGGGAGGCTGTCAGGCCCAGGCCGTTTTTCTGGTGGTGGTTGTTGCTGGAAGATTTTCAATTGCTGGTTCAGTCTTCTCACTACTTATAGGTCTATACGGATTTTCTGATTTTTCATGGTATAGTCTTGATAGGCTTTTGTTTCAAAGAACCGTCCATTTCACTGAAGTTTTCCAATTTGTTCCTATACATTTTTTCATACTCATAATCCTTTTTATTTCTGTAGAATAGGTAGTATTGGCCCCGCTTTCATTTCTGATCTTAGTTAATTTGAATCTTTTTTTCTTCATCCAGCTATAAAATATAAAATATATACTTGTTATGTATGTAAATATATAAAGATTGGTCAATTTTCTTGCCGTTTTTGAAGAACCAACATTTAGTTTCATTGATATTCTGAACTGTTTTTCTAGTCTCTATTTCATTTATCTCCGCTCTAATTTTTATTTCCTTTCTTCCTCTGGTTTTGGGTTTCATTTGTTCTTTTTCTATTCCCCCACATTGTAAAGTTACATCGCTGATTTGACATCTTTTTTGTTTTTAATGTAACCATTTATAGCTATAAATTTCCCACTTAGCACGCTTTCAGCATGTCCCGTAAGTTTCGACACGCTGTCCTTTCACTTTAATTCATCTCTGTTTTCTGATTTCCCTGTGGTTTCTTCTTTCGTCCACTGACTAGGAGTGCGGTCAGCCCTGGCCAGCGTGGTGAAGCTGCTGGGACCGTCATCCCATAACCCCAAGTTTGCAGGTGCGTTTCCTGCTCAGGGCACACACCTGGGCTGCGGGTTCAATCCCCACTCTGAGTACACACGGGAAGCAACAAAGCCATACTACTGTCTTGCGTCCCTGTTTCTCTCCCTCTGCCTTGTTCTCTAAAAGCCCTGAAAAAAAACGTGCTCCAGTGAGGATAAAAAAAAAAAAAGTTCGATTTCCAGTTTAGAATTTCCATTTTATTTTTGTTGATTTCTAACTTCATCCAGTTGTGTTGATAGAGGATATTGTATGACAGCTGTTTTTAAATCTATTGAGACTTAATTTGGGAGCTGATGGTCTATCCTGTGAAGTGTCTCGTGTGTACTTGAGAACATGGACGCTGTATGTCTGTTGGATGCAGTTCATTTGCTACAAGTCTTCTATCTCCTTACTTCTGTCTGGGTTCTCTGTCCATTACTGAGAGACGGACACTCAAGTCTCCAGTTGTTATTTTAGACATACTTCTCCTGTCACTTCTGCCAGTGTTTGTTAATATGTGGTGGTTCATCATGAAGTGCCTAAATGTTTATGTATCTTTTCATTGAAACTTTTATTACTGTATGTCCTCCCTTGTCTCATCATCTTTTTTATTTCAAGGCATTCCTGTCTGCTGTTAGCATAGCCAGCTGTGGTTCCTTTTGGTTACTATTTGCATGGGATGTCTTTGTGCGCCCTTCCACTCTCAGTCAATGCACACCTTTGGATCTGAAGGGACTCTCCTTTAGACAGCATCGTTGGACAGTGGGTTTGGTTTTTTCAGTCTATACTGTCTGTCTTCTTCACTGGAGAGCCGACTCCATGTAAAAATAATCCCCGAGGAGGAGGGCCTCTGCTGCTGTTTCCTCCCTATAGGCTGTATAGGGGTTTTGTTGTTTTCTTTTGGTCCCTCATTTCCTGCATGACTCTTTTCATGTTTGTGGGTCTTTTATAATTAAATATGTGCATTCCTTTCTCACTTTTTTATTTCCTTGTTTGTCGCCTGAAGCTCGTTTCTTCGCTGTTACGTCGGGGATGGCTCTCTGGGCTCCGTGCCTCCGTTTCAGTCGCGCACAACAGCCATGCCCCCAACCCTTTGGCTGCTGTCACGAAAATACATTGTGCCCTAAAACATAAATCAGTGATTCTTTTAAATGCTTTAATCTTTCAAATTATATAGAAAACAAAACGTGGACTTACAATCATACCAGCCTTTACACTGGTGACATTTTAAAATGCGCTAGTCTCCCAAATCATACAAAACAAACAGTAGCGACGAACTGCTCTTACGGGAGAACCAGCTCCGACCGTCGCGCAGGCACTTGCCTTTGCCGAGGCTGGGCTTCTCCACGCGGCCTCGAGTGGGTCCCGGGGGCTCGCGTTGCACCTGCAAGGCTCCCCTGCGCACCTCCCGCAGGGCGGGTCGGGCCGACCCGAACCCCTTCTTTTATCTGCACATGCTTTAATTTCTCCCTCACTTTTGAAGAACAACTTTGCCAAATACAGGGCTCTTGGTTTTCTTTTTTTACCACTTTATCAGCCCACTGCCTCCTGATCTTCAAGGTTTCTGGAGAAATATGTTCATCTAACTGAGGATCCCTCGTGTGTGGTTTGCTTCTCACTGCTTTCGAGATTCCCTTTGTGTTTGGCATCTGAGTCTAATTGTCTCGCTTAGTTCATCTTTCTTGGAGTTCACCGATCTTCCCGGATCAAATGTGGGGAATGTTCAGCCATAGTTTCGTCTACTGCTCCCCCCCTCCCCGCTCTGGGGACTCCCACAGTGAGCGTGCGTGCGAGCGTGCTGGTCTGCGTGACCACGTCCCGGAAGCCCCGGGACTCTGCTTTTTCTTCAATCTCTCTTTCCGGTTCCCCAGACTGTCATTTCCACGTCTTACAGTTCGGTTTGCTGTTTCTTTCCTGTGCCTACTCAAATGTGCCTTTGAATCACTCTAGTGAATATTTCACTTTAGTTACTGAACATGTCGGCTCCAAAATTTGTAGTTTGTTTTTCCTTTATTGCTAGGTTTTGTTCACGTTACCATTTTGACTTTCTCGACATTTTCAGTTGTTTGAGCAGTTGTAGAGTTTTAAAGTCTCTGTCTAGTAAATCTACCATTGGGTCTTTTTTGGACAGTTTCTATGGATTTTTTCTTTTGAATGGGCCGTACTTCCCTATTTGTTTGTATTTTTTCGTTGTTTTTGAAAATTGGACATTTGAACCTGATAGTGTAGTAACTCTGGAAATCAGATTCTGACCCTTCCGCAGACCTTGCTGTTTTACTGCCCATTTTCTTTCCTCATTGTGGGCTGTGAACCTGACCTTCATGGTATGAGGCTTCCCAAGATGGAGCCAAACCCACAAGACACATGTTGGCGGCACAGGCTAGGCAAGAGTGCGTGTCACAGTTGTTGTACACGAAGTCTTTGCAGGCCTGAGCTTGTGCACAGGCGCGCACACAGACTCATGCACACAGGGAGCCACACGTGTACACCTGCACACATGGGCACTCACGCTCACACACACTTGAGACAGCACTGAGGTCGCATGTAGCACACACGTAGGCTTTGCTGGGTTATGTGAATAGAATTCAGACAAGAACCTGCAGTGAAACTTCTGTCACTTCTCAAGGAACCTTCCTCTGCCTTTCTCCTGGTAACTAAAATACACTCAGCTACTCTTGGCTTTCTTACCAAGATCGACAATCTGATAGAACCCACTTGGAAGACCTAGTACTGGAGCGTGGGAGCCGGAAGGTGGCTGCTAATGCCTCGCAAGCTTCCTGGGCCCCGACGGCGTGTGACGCAGGCATCCGGCCCGTGTGCCCACGGGCAAGTCGTGGGCCTGGGCAGGGACCAACATCAGCAAATTAACTCCCCGAGTGGGACAGACCAGCCCGCACACCAGAGGCCGCCCCCACACCAGCCGTTGCGCCGTGAAGACAGTGCCTGCTCTCAGGGTCTCTGGACGTGGGTCTCAGTCCCCAGGGCAGAGGCGCCCAGAACGGGGCAGCGCCTGCGGACCCTGCAAACGCCAGCGTCTGCGCACAAAGCGGAGGCAGAGGAGCACCGTCTGGGGCTGCGCGAGGCGGCGCCACTGGACACGCCCTCACGGAGAGTCCCACACACTCTTCCCGCCACAGCTTCCTCTCGAAAGCCGGGCCTTACACTCTCACGCCCCGCGCTGCGAGGTGCTGTGCACAGGTGAATCTGAAAGCGCATGTAAGCGTGGTGCCGCGGGGCAGGCCTTCCATAAAACCTGGCATCTTCCAGGGAGAAATGAAATACCATAGGCTAAAATTTTTTCTGCTCTGCCTTCAGTCGCTACGTTTATTTTTTAAAAGACAGATGGAAACCGAATTGCTTTCATACATAGTAGGAACATTTGGGTTCCTGGTCAGGGCGCATCCTTGGCTTGTGGATTCGACCCCTGGTCGGGTGTGTGCAGGGGGCAACCAATTAATGTTCCTTTCACAGTGATGCTTTCTCCTTCCTCTGTCCCTAAAACTGATTAACTCTCCTAGGGTGAGGATTAAAAAAGAAAAGACACAAAAATGTGGAAAATATGGCATGAAATAAACTGTGAAAAGCAGTTGTTTACAGTACGCCAGGAACATGTGAACTTCAGGGGGGACCGTGCATGTTAGGACTCAATTTCCGCCTCTGTGGGCGCATCCCAGGATGGGTGTGAAGGTGCCGCCCACGTAGGGACGGGGGGTCTCAGGAACTCTGCACTGAGGCGGCAAAGCTGCAGATAAAGAAGACCCACCCCCTCCTCCTCAGCCCAAGAGGCTTTCGGGCACTTTCCACAGCGACAGAAACCGCTGGTGGAGAGAGAGAAGGTGCTAACAGCACTGCCCCTCACTCGAAGGCTCTTCCCAGAAAACACCAGAGGCGACTGGGCTATCAGAGCAGAACTCCCATCGGGGCCGCGCAGAAGCCTCACAACTCACACCGGCCGTGACCCCGTCCACTCTCCAGGGCCCTACCTGCCCCCGCCCCCCGTCCCCGCTCCCCACCCTGGCCTCTCCCATTCGCTGCCCAGGGCACGCTCCCCTGCACGGGCCCTGCCATCTCCCAGGCCGCCCTCACTCGCCAGCTCCCCCGGGGGGGGGCCTGGGGGAGAGCTCATCGTCCACGCGAGGCCCGGCCTTCTTCCTCCTCTCCATTTGCCGCCTCAGCTCCGCCGCCAGCTCTGGCCCCGGGCCCTCGGGGCTCCCGCCCGCACGCCCCTTCTCCCTCCTCCTCTTGTACGCCATGATCTGCTGGTGGAGCGCCTCGTGGTCGATCCCGCACAGGCTGGAGCACAAGGTGGGCCCCGGGGCGTCACGTGGTGAAGAGACCTCTGGGGCGTCCAGGTCCCTGGAGGGAGAAGCAAGGTGAAGCGCCAGAGCCACCGCGCGAACGCCTGGGCTCCCGCCGCACCTCCTTCCACCCTCCGCCCGCAAGCCGTCCCCATGCCGCTGGCTGGCGGCACCTCACCGGGCCCGGCGGCCTCCCGGCCGGACAGCACAGGCCGCTCTCGGCGTCTGCGGGTGGCGCCAGCCGCCCCAGCTCTGAGGCCGCTGCCTGCACTGTCACCCAGCACACCCCGAGCGTCGCCCTGTTCACAGGCGGCCCGCGCACGAGGCCAGCCGCGTGGTCTCGGGGCGGGGGGGCGCAGGCTGCTCGACGAAGCACAGCAACAGGGAGGCGCCGACTCGGAGAGCCAACGGGGGGCCCTTGGCAACCACACCGGGCGGTGCTGCAGCTCCGAGCCCCTTGGCACTCGCTGCGGAGGTTCCCGCCCGCAGCCGTGGCCCTGCGTGCCACCCCCAAGCGCCCCTTACCGGTCCAGGGTGCACGGACTCGCCGCAGCCCGGGGCCGCTGTCTGGCTTAGCGGTCCCAAGGGGAGCCCCCAGCGCCTGGCAGGCCGGGGGCCTGAGCAGCGCCCCGGGGAGGCAGACACAGCGGGTCTTGGACACCAGGCTCCTCCACACGCACCGCTCAGCCCCCGCCGCCCACGCTTCAGCAGCGTCCCACCCGCCTGGCGACCCGGCACGCAGCCCTGGCCCATGAGTCTCTGCAGCGTCCGCACCCGTCAAGAGGCTCCGACAGCGCCGAGTGGGCCTGCATACCCTTGGGGCAGCCGCGACCCCGCACCCGCCATCTGCCTGAGACGTGGGCGCACGTCCACACGCATCACCTGAGGTCGCTGTGCCCAAAGTCTTCGTTTTCATCTGTGGGGCCAAAGTCGGCGACCGCCAGCAGCCGGTCCACCTGACAGGGAATGGAGGGCGCAGCGTCAGAGGGATGCGCGGCCACTGCGGACCCCTCCCCGTCGCTCCTCACAGTGACACTTCCCAGGAGCTGGGCCCGTCTGCCACCTGTGCTGTCAAACACCTTTTGTTCTAATGGTCACGTTTTCTCTGATGATGAACAATTTTTAAAAAGTGGATTTAAATGTGTGAAAGTCCAAGTCATGACCCAGGAGCTGGACATCGGCCGACTTGCCCAAGCAACCCGCGCTGCTGTGTCCCCTGCGGCCCCAGGGCGCGCAGTCCCCATGGCACCGGTGCTGGACCCGGGGCGGGGCGGGCACGGAAGCACCAGGAACAGGACCAGCAAGGCCGGGCGGAGACTCGTCACACACGCGCTGAGCAGGGATGTGGACAGCCCGCGTGGCCGCGCAGCCCGACGACCAGCAGGGCTGGACAACGTCCCTGAAGGAGTGGCGGCCCACAGGCAGCGAGGATGTGCACCAACCCGCCAGGCCAACCCCCCCAACCCCCCCCCGCCACGCCCCGCAGCCTCACTGGGACAGGGGACCGCCGCCCACCAACAGGCGGCAGAGTCGCCGGCTGCGTTCCGGCTCCCCAAAGGAGCTGCGCGCACAGCAAACGCCGGGCTGAGCCAGAGGCCCGCACACGTGGCGCGTCAGGACGGGGCGGCGTGCGTGCTCTGTACCTTTGACGAGAAACTGCCCACCGATAAGGCCTATTTTCAGAGTGTGAACAGAGGAGGAGACGCCCCATTAACGCTGGCCGCCTGTGTCTCTGGGGCCGTCACGTGAGAAAGGGGGCCCTGCGCGGGGCCACGGGCCCCCGACCCACCAAGGGAGGCAAGCAAGCGGAATAAACCACAATGCGGGTCTCCTGAGTCCATGGATTTTCATTAAAAATTTTCTTCCTTTATAGTTACGAAAAACACCCCATTTTAAAAGCCTTTCGGTTGAAAGATAAGATGCCCAGGACATGCACACAGCCCTCGGCGGACAGCTCGGCACTTCACACCGCGACCCCCGTGGCACCCTGCGGGACGTCTGGGGGACCAAGTGCTCCCCCGAGCCCCTCCCAGCGGCGGCCGGTGCTTTGACTTCCGAAGCCGAAGACGGGGCACTCCCGTCCTTGAACTTTTATAGACAGGATCAGAGCGCGAGGTCTTTCCTCCAGCGCCTGGCACAGGCCCAGCACCTCGGCCCCCCGTTCTAACAGGGGCCACCAAGCGTGCGCCCCGGAGGAGCACGGCATAGCCCTCCCCTGGCGTGGGGACTCACAGGGGATGGTGGGTGGCAGGACGTGCCCCACTCGGCTTCTGCTGGTTCGACCTCTGCCTCCCAGGGGCCCCCCCTCCCCAACAGCGTGGCGGCGCCTCTTGCTCCCAAGGGGACCCTCAGTACCCTCACTGCTCTCCTGTCAGCAGGAAGGGGGGTGTCATGTGGCTTCATGAGCAGGACCCAGACCCCCGGCCTGGGTTTGCTGGCAGTAACAGTGCTATTGCCAGAGGCTCTGGGGCTCAGCCTGCACAGAGCACCTGCCCCCCGTTCCCACGTCCACACCAGCGACCTCACAACCGCCTGGAGGGGACAAAGATGCTGCTCAAACTCTTACAAGCAGCTCTCATCACGAGCGCCCACCTGCAAGTTTTCAACCGGGTGCAATCGGTGCAAGACACAGAATGAACTGGCGGGAGACTCAGAGGGGCGTCTGTGGCTCCCTATTTTCATTTTGTGTCCATCGGAGCTGCTTTTTCATGGGCTGACCCCGAGTCATCGCGAATGTGCAGTGTTCGAAAAACCCTGCGCTGACGTGTGCCAGGGCAAGCGAGTGAGGACCGCACCCTCGGACCCTCACCCGGACAGACCAGAGGCCCCACGGCCCAGCCCTTCCTGACTCCCGACTACGGGGGGACAGACCCCGCGGCCGAGATCCGCCCTCCGCCCTCCTCCGCTCAACCATGGGCTCCAGGCACGTGCACGACCGGTGGGACCATGGGGCTCGTGGGGGGACCCTTCAGCGCCTCCTCTGGGCACACGTGGGACGCAGGGGGGCAGACGCCGCACAAGCTGGGGGCAGCCTCCCACACACATGCCACCAACACTGTCTTTGGAGAAAGGGCCTCCCCAGAAACGAGCACCGCACCCGCCACCCTCCTTCCAGCGGCTGCTTCTGAACAGGAGCCCCCAGAGCCAGGCGCGACCTTGGTGACTGCCGACCCCACCACCGCAGAGACAGGGCCCAGCCAGGCACAGGAGCAGAGGGCGCACCCCCAGCCAGGGCCAGGACAGCCTTCTCCCAGCCTGACCAGCGTGCGTGGGTGGATCCCTCGCTAAGTGTCTTTGCAGCGCCCCCACAGCCTGTATTTTGCGGGATACTTCTTCTAATATTTTATTTTTTTATTTTAGAGAAGGGAAGGGAGGGAGGAAGAGAGGGTGAGAAACATCGAGGTGAGAGAGGAGCATCCATCGGCGGCTGCCTTCCATATGTGCCCCAGGGCGGGGTCCCCAACCTCCGGGCAGCAGGGGACCGGTGCTGGTCCATGGCCTGTAGGAACCAGGCCGCTCTGGCCCCGCCCCGGTCCATGGAAGAGCTGTCTCCACGAAACCGGTCCCTGGTGCCAAACAGGTTGAGGACCGCTGCCCCGGGGGACCAAACCTGCAACTCAGGCACGTGCCCTGACTAGGAACCGAACCTGCGACCTTGCGGTTCACAGGACAACGCTCAACCCACTGAGCCACCGCAGGGGGGCTTTGCTGGATTTTCTAAAGTAGACACTTGCCTCCTTTGTTTCCTGTCCTATCTGCCAAGGTTGTTATTCGTATAACGCTTTCAGTGTTGCTTGTAGGATGAACAAGGCCAAAAAAATGTCCAATTAGATATTTTCTCTCCATGGACGTAAATACTTAGTTCTATAAGCAACTAATAGCCACTTAATCAGAATATTGTAAATGCTACTTAGTGGTTTTTTGATAAACTTTAAAGGTATAACATACCTTAGTAACCACCAGGCAACCAGCAACCAGATTAAAACACACACACACACACACACACGCACACACTCTTACACGTTTTAACCTATGTAATTAACCTGTGGCTAAAACAAGAAGATACACGAAAGTTACAGTCGCAGGTCAGAATGCAAACCCTGCGAGCCGTGCCGTAACGGTGTAACTCAGCCGGAGTGGGACTGAAACCGGGGAAGGGAGAGGGAGCGGCGAGCAGAGGGTTATATATCGGAACCTGGAGGCCTGACTTACTAGTTAAGAGTTACAGGGATAAACATTAAAAAAATTAAAATCAGAAACGAGTTTCCCTCTGGTGGCTTGCGCTGGGAGCAAGCATGGGGGTCTTACTTGCTGTCTGCACCCTTGCCAGTATTGCCTCTTAAAACAGTGTGTGCTACCCTCTTAGGGACCTTGCCTACGTGAACGGTGACAACCTGCGGTCTGTCACCTCAGGGCCTCACCTCGGCCAGAGCGGCGTGCTCCTTGTCCTGAACAAACACGACCGGCGGCACGTTCCTCAGCGTCTGCTGGGACATCAGGAGATGCCTGGGGGAGAAGGGGCACGTTATGCGGAGGAGGGGACACCCGGGGGAGAGGCATGACAGCGCCAGAAACAGAAAGACACGATGGCCTCACACAGGCGTAAGACGACAGGTCTGCTCATCACGTTATTCAAAGATGAAAACGTCAGCCCAGAAGAGTCTTCCGCAGCCCGCCGCACATCATGGCAGGGCCGGGACGGCCCCTCGGACTGGCCTGACCTAACCCGCGGCTGCCTCCTGGGCATCGCTGTGGCCTTGGGCTCCACGGCTGGTCACTAACCAGCTGTCAACGCTCCACCCTCCCGCCGACGGACATGCTCCAGCAACAAAGCCGCCCACGCCCCCGATGTCACAAGGGCGGGCTCTCTGTGGTCCTCAGACCCAACGGCAGATAAAAGGTGACTCTGGGTACAAGCAGCCAGTGGCAAGGTGGCTGTGACACACAGCACATCCGCTCAGGGACAGTGGCTCTTGGAAGACACAAAACCCTGGGTGACCACAGGAGTTGGGAAAGGGGCCACTCTGTGTAACTGAATTTCCTAACTGCCTAAAAATTAACCAGCAAACAGCACTGCTACCGGGACCCTTGTTACATTTCTGTTTTGTTTCTGTTCAATGTAAAAATGAGATGAACGCATCACTCCTTCATAACCAACTTTACAGACACTCAGGGATCCCTGGGGTGCATGTCAGCGGTCACGACGCAGCAGAGCCACACAGGGAGGTGAGCGGGGCAGCTCTGGCCCGTCCTCCTGACAGTGCAGGGGACGCGGGTCGGGAGTGGCCACGAAAGCCAAGGGCAGGCGGGGGGTTCCAAGCCTGAGAGGGCGAGCGCGTTGGTTTCTGGACCTTTTAAGCCCAAGGAAACTGAGTAACATCTTTACTCCCACCCAGCTCAGCAGTTCTCAAAACCTCAGGACCGCTCTACGCTAAAAAAATTACCGAGGGCCCCAAAGAGCTTTCGTTTACGTGGGTCGTATCTATCCACATTTCCCATACTAGAAATTAAAACTAGGAATTTAAAATATATGTATTTATTAATTCATTTAAAGTAAACCCACTAAACGTTCCCAGACATTTTTAATGAAAAATAATTGTTTTCTAAAAAAAAAATATTGCAAAGAGTGGCGCTGTGTACACCATTGCACATTTCTTTTTGCCTGGTTTAATGGAAGACAGCTGGGTCTCATGTCTGCATCTGTATTCAATCTGTTCTGATGGTGTTGCAGCTGAAACGTAGGGGGAAAATCGGCCTCGCACAGGTCTGTGGCTGGAAGTCGGAGGGCTATACGCACACCCTTAGGAGACGCGTGGGTCTCTTTGAAACTGAACAAAACTCAACACGTGGTAGTCTCTCAAAGGCTGGGTGCGACATGGAATCTGCAACCAGACCGATGAACTCGCCCCCCCATCCCATGAAACGCCCTGCCCCTGCGCGGTTCCGCAGCCTCGGGCACTGGGCGCCGAGCCCTCTGATTTTCAGGAGGCTGACATGCATTGGCACCCGCCTCGCCTAGGTTATGCCTTATGGGAAAATGTAAATTACACTGAGGTTCAAAAACCGCTTCCCAAATTCTCCTCCAAAGCAAAAACACCGTGAAACAGGCCGGGGCCGCCCCCCCCCGCGCTGTGAGTGCGGACGCGCCCGGCCGGCAGCACGCGCTCACCTCATGTGTGCGGCGTGCCTCTGCAGCGTGGCCTGGGCGTGCGCGGTCCGCTCCGCCGACGACGTCGTCCTCCAGTACACGCGGCAGGCAGAGAAGTCTGAGGTCAGAGACACCTGACCCCCCCATCCCTTCAGCTTATGCGGCTCCTCCGCAGACGGGGTGCAGGAGAGAAGGCAAGCCGCCTGCAGCCCGCCCACCCCCGGAGCGAGCGCCCCAGCCGCACTGCCACTGGCCGCCGCCTGCACAGCCGGAACCCGAGGCCTCGCCTCTGCGACCCCGACCCCGACCGCGACCCCGTGGCACTCGCCAGCACCGCTGCCACTGCTCTCCTCCTCGCGCCCCTCCGGCTACGCTCCCTCCAAGGAGACCGATGGCAGGAGGTCACCCCCTTCACCTTTCCTCCGAGACAAACGTGACACATCCACACCCCTGACCCGCAGGCCTCCTGACCCTGCATGTGGTGCTGTCTGGTCAGAGACACCTCCCGCCCCTGCTGTGGCACCACACGCAGTCCCTCCCTCTGTCTTAGTGCTCCCGTGGCCACACTTAGCAACGCTCCTACAGCCCTGACCGAAGCCCGTCTGAGCGAGCTGGGCCTCAGCGCGACGCCGGGGGCGGGCCCCCAGCCCCAGCCGCCAGCCCGTCCCTTCTCGCCCGGGCCCCGCCTCTACCTTGGACAGCTCCACGTGCAGGTCGCAGACCTCCTGGCTCACTTCAGGGGTGCAGAGCAAGTCGCGGAGCGCTTTGTGCAGCAGGCCGTTCAGGGCCCTCAGGCGCACGTGGTCTTCCTTCCTGGCTTTCTTCGAAGTGCTCTTCGTTAGGAACTCCAGCTGGGACGGCTTGGGAGTCTGCGGTGAGGAGGGCACACACAAAGGCAGACGTCAGACTGCGCGCGACACTGGCACCGACTGACAAAAAGGCCGGTCAGTGCCAGGCAGCTGGGAAGGACTTGAACACCTTGACAAACAAGAAACAAACGCTACGCTCCATCACCCCCGCTCTCATTAAGACACACTTTGGCCCTGGCTGCTGTGGCTCACTGGATGGGAGCACCGTCCCCCCGTAACCCAAAAGGTCGTGGGTTCCGTCCCCAGTCGGGGCGGCTGTGAGAGGCAACTGGTCGGTGTCTCTCTCCCTCCCCTCCTCTTCCCCTCTCTAATATCAACGGGCATGTCCTCGGGTGAAGATTAAAAAAAAAAAAACCACTTTATTTTACAGAGCTGGATCCTTGCAGATTTTATCTAGCATTCCTCCCGAATAAAAATTACTACCAGTACATATTTTTTTCAACAAAAACTTTTACTGAAATACATCCCACATATCATAAAATTCTCCCTGTTAACATGCACAGCCGGCCTGGGGGGGACGGCTCGGGTGGCTGGAGCACCGCCCTGAGAAGCCAAGACTGCGTCTCCTCCCAGGCGGGGCACGTACAAGAATCAACCCACGATGCACAGAGAAGTGGCACAACAAATTGGTGTTTCTCCCTTCCTCTGTCTCTCTAAAATCAGTAAATTAGAAAAAAAACAAAAACGCATACAATTCAGCGGTTTTTAGTATGCAGTGTTTTTCCTAGCCAGAATCGTTCATTACATAAACTTCTACAACGTATCTACGTGTGTGTGTTATACACACATTGCGACGTTAGCGTTTGGCCGCAGCTGCGACACCCTGAAAACGTCCCGGTCGGCCGTGCATTCTAACGTCGAAATCCCACGCTGCCACTCGCCCCAGACCCGCCCCTGCCGACCCCGCTCCCTCCGCCAGGGGGACGCTGGTGCCGGGGCTGGAGCCGCCCGGCGCCTGGAGCCCATCGAGGCCAGGGAGCGGCTGCCGCGGGCCCTCTCCTCACCAGGTGAGAGCCCAGGGATGGCCCTTCGTACCAAAACTTCTTCCTACAGGAAGAAAACAAAAGCTGTGTTGGATACAGACAGCAGGTTAAAGAAGAAAAGTTACACACGTTTAGCTCAAGCTTCCGATACCACGACTGCTTCTCAGGGGCCAAATTCGGACAGCGACACTGAGAGCGGGAACGTACCTCACTGACAACAACGCGGGCGGGGGGCGGGGACGCAGCAGGTGGCTTTACCTCGACCTCCGTTTTTACTCTAAGTCTGCTGCTCATCCCAACGGCAGAGGAGGAGAACCTTAAAAACACACCTAGGCAGCCGCAGGGGAGCACGCGCTCTGCCCGGCAAAGCTGCCCCCGGGCGAGCGCGGGACTGGCTCCGGGCCCGACCAGCTGCGCGAACAGGGGCCTCTCAGCGGCGCGGGAGGGCGCCCCCCACGCGCAGGACAGGGAGCCGGGGCGGCCCGTGGGGCTGCAGGACCCTATGAGCTCAAGCTGCGCTTACGGCAGGTCCGAGTGGAGACACGCGAAACGTTTAGAGGTTAGTGCACCTGCGGTTGTACTATATTTTGCTTTGTAAGGTGAAAGGGCCCAAAAGAGAGACACCTGGTAGCAATGAGCACATTCGGCTCCCAGGGCACCTAAGGCCGTTTGCTACTAACAGGACCCAGAGCTCCCGGCATAAGCGGCTGATTGCGGAACGGAGGCATCGTGAAGTGAGTGCCACTAAGTAAACAAGCGCTCAAGAATACAAATTAAAAATGTAAAAGTCGCCATGAACCCCCAAATGACGGGTGTGTCAGAGGGATGCGGGAGCCAAGCGAAAGCGCTCCCAGTGGCCCAACGGGAACAAGCGAGCACAGCGGACGCGCGCTGGGCTGTGACCCGCGGGCCCAGCCCACAGGACCCGTGACGCAGAAGAGGCTCCTCGCCCAGGGGGAGGCCCAGGCGCGTCCCCCGCCAGCCCGCCCTACGAAGAGGCCCAGGGCCACACCCAGAGCGACGACCCCCGTGGGCAGCGTGCCCCCCAGACCGGATGGGATGAAAGCGGCACCCGCCGTCTGCGGCCTTCCTACCCAAGCCTACACCCCGGTGTCCTCGTGCGGGAACCCCGCACACGCCGCCGCAGAGGGGCCCCGACGGGGGATGACCAAGGCAGGCGGCCCCAGAGCGGGGCCCTGGAACAGGAAAGGGGCGTCAGGGAAAGAACAGGAACAGGAAAAGAAACGTGAAGAGCGCGTGGACTTCGGCTAATGACCGCGCGTCCGCGCCGGTTCACTCGTTGTAACAAACGCGCCAGACGAGCCGCCGGCGTCACCACCGTGGTGCGGTTTCACGGAACCGCTGTGCCACCTCTGCCGGTTTCCACAGGTCTGACCCGGGTGTTCAGAGTAGTCCGTTGCCCCAAATGCCACGTTCATCTACAAACGTGGCGCGGAAGGCAGCGTATTTCGTTACAGTTCCCTCCGGCCTTAAGGACCTATCCGGACAAGCTTTGGGGCTTCCTTCTGAAACGAAGCCCACCCCTAGGAAAGCGTCCCCGACAGGAAACGCCTCAACTGTCGAACTTCCTTCCGTTAGACGGCCGCGCACCGCTTCCGGCGACCAGCACCAACAAAAACGTCCGCGCCGCTGGGCTTCCCGCGCTCGCGGGGCACCGCTGGTCTTCAGAGGACTCGACGCTACCGCCTCGACTGTAACGGGACGGAGAAAAGGCCGGCCGGGGCGAACGGCGACAGGGCGGCGGAACTGGCGGTGGCCTCTCCGTGACCACCAACCTCCCAAGCAAGGCTGCGCGGGCCGACGGAGTGCGCGTGGGCCCCGCCCCCGCCCTCAGGGCACGGCCTCCACCCCCTACCCCTGCACTCAGGGCGCCGTACTTGGTTTTCGAGGCAAATTTCTTGAGCAGGTTCTTGCCGCAGCGGACGGGCGAGCCATGCAGGCCTCGGGCGCCGCCGGGAAGGAACCCCGCGTGGCTCCCGCCGAGCAGCGCCCGAAGCCCCGCGGGGAGACCCAACAGCCGGTGAGCCTCCACCCACATGGCGTCGAGCGGACCCCGGGGCGGAGCAACGAGAGGCGGATCGACGCGGGGCGGGACGTAAAGAGGCGGGGCGACGTGGGACAGGGCCTAGTACAGGTCTGGGCCTCGAGGACGAGTAGGCGGGACGTGTAGCAGCGGGGCGGGGAACGTGGGGCGGAGCGACGCGCGCGGGGCAGAACGTGAAGCGACGGGGCGGGGCCCCGAGCCTATGGGGCAGCGTGCGTGCTGAGCGGTGCGCACGACGTGGGGCGGGGAGACTTGCGGTGGGGCGGGGCTTGAGGACGGGTAGACCGACGGGAAGCGTCGGGGCGGGGCGACGCAGAAGGCGGTGGCGCGCGTGCGGGGCGGAGTGACGTTGGGAGGGGCGTCGCGGGGCTGAACGACGCGGGTGCGGAGTAGTGGAGAACGAGGGGCGGGGCGACGCGGGAGGGGCGGAGCCTAGAGGAGGGGTGGGCGGGATGTGGAGCGACGGGGCGGGGCCGGGCTACCCCACGGGACCGCCCTGAGGGCGGGAGCGGGCCGGCGGGGCGCCGGCGCCGGCACCGAGCTAGCGAGACTGCGTCGCGGCTCGGCTGCCACTGCGTAGCAAGGGGAGAAACCAGGGCGGGAGCGGTGAGAGCTCTCCGCTGGTGGTTCGGGGGCGTTCTGGGTGGAGCCCATGTTTCTGCCTCCCGACACCGCAAGGCCCTTCGTTACACCGAATGCTTTCTCCGTGCGCTACCTCCTCAGCAGGTTCAAAACCCCGCAGAAAGGAGGCACACCGTCGCCCAACCCGTCGTCACTGTCGCCCCTGCTAGCGCTGCCCACGCCCGCTGTCACTGGCTCGCGGAGACGCGGCGCTGCGTGGTCCCGGGCCCGCTGGTCAGTCCCCCGCGGCCCCGGAGGGCGCCCAGCAGTCAGCTTTGGGATGGTTGGAAGGAGTGACAACGGTGGTTAGAGTTGGAGCAAGGCTCCCTGCCGGGGACCTGTGGGAATTTAACAGGATGGAAGGCACCAGCCCAGGGTTTTAATCCAGTTTCACACACTTGCAGCGTCCGGACGCCAGGCGACGAGCGGGCTCCGGCGCGTTGCCAGCGCGGTGCGAACGCAGGGTGGGCCCTTAGCCCGCGCTCAGCAAAGCGTCACCACTGCTGCGGTCTCAGATAGTGACAGTAGACGCATCCGTACGTTGGACCCCAACGTAAATACAACACGCAAGGTAACATTTCCCCATTTAATCTGCCGCGCGCCATCCCTCCGAATTCGCAGCCCACGCCACTCATGGCAACGGCACTTCATTGGGAACCGGACGCCCGCTGAGCGAGGCCAGGATGCTGCCAGCCAAGTTTTCCATCATCTGCTGTCGGGCCTGAGGGGTTGCGGTTCCAGCGTGCGGCGTCAGAGTGACATTCTTCAACTTCAGCAGAGGATGGTCTCTGAAACACAGTGCAGTGACGGGAACCAGCAGAGCTGTTTGTCCCTTGAGCTTCGGTCCTTGGAGCTCAGGTTCCACAGCTGCACCCCGAGGTGGGCAGGCTGGGCGGCGAACAGCACACTCCAGATCCCGCCCAGCTGGGACCGCCACTCGTCCAACCCCTGCATTTTGGGTGCAAAGCACGTATCCTACCTGCAGCCAGGCCGTCGGCACACCGTGGCACACCGTGCACAGTGGATTAAATGCTGGCCCGCAAGGCAGAAAAGGGCCCTAGGGGACACAGGTGCGGGTCCAGGCATCACCGGACACGCAGAATGGGCCCTGGAGGAGCGGCACTCAGTGGAGGGACGTTTCCTCACTAGAACTGGCAGGTTAGAGGGCGCTCTCTTCCCGGAAGACTGCAAGGCTGGGGGCCAGCCTGGGAAGAGGAGGTTCTTCGTGAAGTGGGTGAGGCCAGAGCCCAGTGCTGGGAAAGGGCCGCGCCCTGACCCACCAGGGACTCCTGGCTGTTTTAATGCAGAGAGGCCAAAGTAGCCACGTGACCATCCTAGCCCTTGAGGGCACCCCGTTGCAATCTCATGCACCCTAAAACCTACGGACGTTCTCTGGGGCACTTGCCACTCTGACTGCCCCAGTCTGCAGGGCTGGGCCCCTCGAGGCATGTCCTGTAGCACAGCTGACGGGGTAAGAACTCTCCTGAAGACACTGGCCCTCCCGTAGGGAGACGGCGGTCCCTGCTCTGTGACAGCACACGTTGGAGACCGCAGGGCGACTGGCTTTGTCCCAACTGACCTGGAACCCAGCGGTCACTGAATCATGAGCAGCTGTCACGCCTGTCCCTAATACTATCTGGTGTAGAGGCAAGAGCCAATTCTGTTGAGATGGTGGAGCAAACGTAGCAAATACCTATGTAATTGTTACTGGTGTATCATATAATGAAGCCAAATTATACCATGAATATATTATGATATGGTGTAACACTGGCATTGTTGGTAGAATTTAACCACCTCATGTAAATGAGTCATATGATACTGCTGATATTGATGATCAATTGGAGTGACAGATTGAGTAAAACCTTCTTCATAATATACCACTGGGGAATGGCTGGCCTAAGGAAAAACTGGACTTAGCTAAATAGCAGCTAATTTATATACTCACAGTACTGTACAAGTTCACCATAAGGTACGAAGAGTGGTAGGTCAATGGGCAAACAATAAATGAGTACAATAAACACAAGAATGCATGTAATGGCTTTACAGGATGGGTCAGTTTTTGCTTTGAGTCTATCCCTGCCCCGCACTGGCTCTTCCAAATGTTAGGCATAGTCATATTGATGTTAGGGCTGCATCTATTATATAAAAACTAATAAACGTAGACACTCCAGTAAATATAATCATTTGGCTGTAAGACAGCCTCGGTCCAGGGTCAGGGAATAACCCGTGAAATAAAGGATTAACTCAACAGGCCTGCAGAACTCTGGACTCTGGAGAGCTCAGACCCTGCACATTCCAAACACACTCCTCTGGGAGCTGACCTCCGAGCCTCTGAGGTTCACTGCCTGAAGGGAGTGTCTCCTTATCCTTGGGACCTTGAGCATAGCCAGGCAGCTTATGCTAACAGAGGAATTTGGGGTGAATGCCTGTTTTTGCTCACCTGGAACCCTGGCCCACGGTGTGTCATCGTGACCTCTGGAGAGGCTGGAGGCCGACTAGCTAACACCAGACATGCGGGCACCCGGTGCCTTCCTGGCCCCTGATGCCGATGCTTGGGTGCGCTTCCCTGGTCGGGCTGCGTGTGTGTTGTCAAACCTCATTGCGGGAAGTAGTAACTATTATCCCTATCACTCCACTGGGAGGGGACAGCTGGAAGCTCATTTCTCCTGGACTCCGCTGGATACACTGTTTACATTTGCTGATTTCACTCTGTGTCCTCTCCCTGTGATGGACAGGAAGTGTGAGGGTGAAGGCTTTTCTGAGTTCTGTGAGTCTTTCTAATAAGTCCTCAAGCCGGAAGATGATCTTGAGGACTTTTTATTCTATTGACGAATGAATTTTTCTTTTTAAAATAATCTTGTAGTAAATACTTGTGTAAGGCAAAGAATACATTTGTAGTATGACTAAGTAATCCCTAATACCCTTCTTTTTACAGTAAGCAACAATGAAATTCCTCCCTCCAAAAAATCAAGATGAACACTCATCTGTCTGATAAAGATAATACAGAAATTAAAAAAATATGGAGATATGAAGATTAAGTTATTCATAAAATAACTGCTAAATCTCTTGGCCACAAAATGGTTTCCCAGGGGCATGAGGAGTGAGTCACCTATTAGAATAAACTGAGCTCTGCGAGGTAACCCTGGTATTCGCCCTGTGTCACCTTCCTAGTGAATCTAATAAAAAGCTCATTGTAGCAGACTAGACAACACGGGTGACCACATAGCTTCTAAGTTTTGGAGTAAGTGGACAACCGTTTAAAATGTTCATGCTTCTTAATTTATATCGAAATTATTTTTTATTGTACATTAGTGGTGCTTAAACGCTTGTTCTCAGGACCTCTTTACACTTTCAGAAATTGAAAACCCCATTTGTTTATGCAGGCATCTGTCCACATTTATAGTATTAGAAATTAAAACTGAAAAAATTAATAATACAGAAGCACACGCTTCCTTAGCTGTCAGAGTGTCACTGCATGTCATCGGCGCCCTTGTGAGGAAACAGGAGCGGGAATAAACCCCACCGGACAGTATGAAGGGTGTACCTCTGACTTCAGAGCCCCTGAAAGGGGCTCCCGCCCACCTTTGCAGAAACACTGTTCTAAATAAATTATTTCCCTCAGAAATGTCTAAGTTCTATGGTCAATCTTGATAAATTTAGATAATAAATTTGGTTGCAATGTCATTCAGCTGATAGTAATTTACTTACTAGGTGGAAATCAAAGTTGGAGGAATCAGAGTGAGTTTAAAGAATGACAGCATCAAGTTTCAAAATAAACGACAGAATCAGGGCTCTGGCCCTAAAAGCCTGGATCTTAGGGTCAAAAATTAAGTCCAATAGAAATAAATGGAAAATTCCATGCATATGCTTAAAAAAGAATTGCTGGAACAGCAATTTCAATTTTAGCTAAAAACTTAAGCTAAGGGTGCAACAGGGCTTCTAAAACAATGCATGTGCTGCTGATGCGAACTTTGCATAATTTTTCTACAGTGGTCAGGCTGCGACAGCCACGCTGGGTTTAGATCTTGAGAGCACATTTCCAGAGGACCTTAAAAAAGAAAGTGCTCCAAAACCGTAACAACGACAAGGTATGTGGAAATGCCATTGCTTAGGCTATAGTTGAAGGATATGAAGATGTTTGGCCTCCAAAAAAAAAAAGACTAAGATAAAACACATTAGCTGTCTTCAATCACATGAAGGTTTTTAAAAGACAAGAAAACCAAAGTTATCCTTTGATGCTCAAGAGGGCAACCCAGGGCCAGGGGCTCAGGGAGGACTGGAGGCGGACAACGCAGGGCCCCGTGGGCCGCGCCCCGCCTGTGGGGGGCGCTGCAGCGGTGCGCAGGCTGCCTGCAGGGCTGGGCAGGTGTCCAGGGGCCTTTAGGCCCCTGCTGGCCACGACCCTACAGTTCTGTGACAACCCAGCTGCAAAAGCCAGAGCCCGGCTGTCCCGGGCCCCTTCCAGGGCTGGGGGTTCTCTCAGGCCTCCTTACCTGGGCAGGGGCTCTGGGTACGCCACGTCCAGCGCCGCTGCTGCGATCACCCCCGTCTGCAGAGCTTCCACCAGCGCGTCCTGATCGATTAGCAGACCTGAGCCAAGGAGACAAGTCCTCTGTGCTCACCACAGGTAGGCAGTGCGTGGAAAAAACACTGGTCGCTTTAGCTGCCCTTCCGAGCACATCCTGACACAGGTGCACTGAACCCTCCAATAAGCCACAGAGTCGATATCCATTTGACAACGACGAGGAAGCCAAGGCTCCTGGTTACCAACTTGCTCGAGATCACACGCACCAACCCAGATGGGAGCCTGGGCCTGGCTCGCTTCTTCACACCGCCTCCCCAAGCAGCCCCCAGAGAACCGTTTTGTACACACTTTGTATACACGCTGAAAAACTAAGCAGCCACAACCACCACCTATGACTGTCATTTCAAACACAAGACACAGGGCAGATGCTGAGAAGAAAATCCTTTCCCTCCAGCAGAGACCTACAAGGAGCCCACCACTGACCGTGGCTGGGAGCAGCTGCCCCCGGTGACTGCCCGTCAGGGCACGGAGCACCCCTGGCTTGCCTGTGTGGCTGTGGAAGAAGCCAGGTCCGAGGCCCCTTCCTGGTCTCTGTTGCTCCGGAATCCTGACTGTGGTCACTGGCCTGTGACAGCCCCGAAAGCCCGGGATGCCCACTCGCAGGGTCTGAATTTTCAGAGAAGTTTCAGCTTCTTGGCTCGGCCAGCGGAGCTGCAGGCCGGCACCGCTTGTTCACAGGCAGCACAGGGAGGCGGGGCAGTGCGGTGTCTACGTGCTCAGCCAGCAGCCCACTAAGGCCAGCAGCCCGGATGTTTGGCGTCAGCCCCAACCCCACATGTGCTGTCGCTGGCTGAAGTCGCGAGCACTTCGTGTCTCTCCTTTGTAAGTGCCGCCCCAACCCACCCCAACGTTTGGTTACAGTATAGGGCCCACCTGTGCTGCGCGCGCGCGCGCACACACACACACACACACAGTGCTACGCAAATGTCAGGTAACCCAGCCAACGCTGTTATTTTAAAGCAAAGGCTCAGAAAATTCATCCCCATAAATTTTGCTTAGTTACACCTAGAAGATCAAACTGCCGCGTCCCTTCCCCGAGTAGATGCCCAAGCCTGGATTTGAAAACCTCCATTAATGACCTGAGGTTCAAAGAGAGGTAAAGACAAAAATCAGAAATATTTCTAAAGAAGCAGCTCAGCACCACACCCGTCTAAGTGGACTGATTAGCCACTAAGGGCAAAGGCCGACTGCAGACGCCGAGGGTCTGGCCGGGGGCCCTCCTCCTCCACGGCCTCCCAGCCACAGGGCCTGCACACAGGCGGCGGGTGGTACCTCGGCCGATGTTGACGAGGATGGCGGTGGGCTTCATCCGCCGCAGCTCCAGCCTCCCGATCAGCCTCTGGGTCTGGGGCGTCAGGCTCAGGGCCAACAGCACGAAGTCTGACTGCGGGAGCAGGTCGTCCAGCTTCTCACAGTAACTGGCCCCAACAGCTTCCTCCTCCTCCAATTTCCTATGAAGAAATCAAGGAAGAAAAATCACATTTCCTAGTCAGAAATTGATTAAGTTGCCCCAGGCAGGAGTTTCTGAAGGGAGCCAGGGACTCAAATGTGTCCCCTTCGCGGGGCCATGACTAGCCCTGGAAGCCCTGTGGGCACCTGGGTTCTCTGCAGGGTCTCACAGCGGACCCACAGCTCCCTGAGAACAGGACCGTGCTCTCAGCTGTGAACCCCGGGAGCCTGGTACAAGCTGATTGTGTGTCAGACATGCTCCCAGTCATGTCAGAGCATGACCAGCTGTGAGCACACACATCACCGTTCCCAGAACACAAAGCAAAACGAAACGGAACAGGAGCGGGCCCGAGAATGCTGTCTGTTAAACAGAAGCAAGGACCCGAGGGTCTGACGGAGGTAGGACTGTGCGTCGGTTTTGGCCCAATGTGAACAATTGCTCTGGCCACCCCAGACCGCGGATTACGCAGCAGACATTCCAGGCTCCGAGGGGTCGCGGCCAGGAGCCGCCACTGCCATACAAACGCGGAACACAAAGTTCTGTGAACCCGGGCACACCCAGCTTCCTTCTCAGTGCCCTGCCCACGCGGCGCACCTTGTCTGGGGAGCCCGGGCCTCCGCCTCTGCCCTCCCCTCACATGGAATGTTGTCTCCGCTGTCCTTTGTGCGAATGGCGACAGAAAAAGGGGACGGGCCTGGACATAAAATCTCCCAGCTCACCGTGCCACCACCACCATCATCAGCGAGAACTCCATTCCATGCAGAAGGGAAGCCACTGCAAGGTGGCAAGCAGTGTCTTGTCCTGATTTGGAGAGGAGACTGGGCATTCAGGAGCAGCACGTCAGCCCCTTGAGGGATGTGCAAATCAAGTGAGAGACAACATGCAGCTTAGAGTTGTCTAGAGACAGACTCAATAGAGCTGGTGTTGGGGGCTGAATCACGTATGAAAGGGAGTGGCTTTCAGACTGAGCGAGTGGGTGAGCATCGAGCTCGGCGCTCAAGAACAGGTCAAAGTCTCCCCCGGTGTGGACAGCACCTCCCGTAAGGAAAAGTCACTTGAGAAATTAAAAAAAAAAAAAAAAAAAAAAAGAACAATTATAGGTGAGTTAAAACCCCTTTCTGGTGAGTTTTTTTTTTAAATGGAAACTAGTCATAGTCACATTTCTAGGTAATCATAAAAATACCGTGATCCCTCTCTGGACTATCAGTTCCACTTTCTGGGAGAAAATTGGGAGTCTTATAAAAAACGGAGAGATCATTCATCCAAAGCCACATTCAGACGATGACGGCGTACGTTCTGCTCAGTGCACCTCGAGTCCACTCTGAAGCGCACCTGCGTTTCCTGTTGTGGTACACGACCTTCATTCCAAACGCCCTGGCCCGCTGAGCCACCTTGTAGCCGGTCCTGCCCATGCCCACGATCCCCAGGGTGGCCCCCGTCACTTCCTGACCCATCCAGTTTGTGGGAACGCTCCTTGTGTCTGGTGAGACAGCCAGCTGGTGACCTACGAGGCACAAGAAGACAGTGGGGAGCGGAGATGGCACCGCACAGAACCCCACAGCCCTTCCTGGGGCCTTTCTGTCACGGTGACAAGGCGAGAAGGTGCGGCTGGCAGACCGTGGCTCTCATGCATGTCTCCGTGACGGCAAACGAGCATTTCTGCAAGGGGAGGAAGGGGAACAGAGGGCGATGTTCTCACAGCGCAGCCAGCGCTTCCTGGGGGGGTGCTGCCAGAGAGAAAGTCCTCGCGCGTTAAGGAAGGTTTTCTGGTTAAAATCGGTTGGGGGCTGTGTCTGTGTGTGTGACTATGAGTGTGTCCGTGACGGTGGGCGACTGTGAGTGCACGTACGACTGGACGCTTGTGTGTGACTGTGCGGGACTGTGTGTGAGCGTGGGGGACTGCGTGTGTACGTCGCGAACCAGCAGTTGAAGCAGAGAGCGCAGCCTCCTCGCTCCCCTCTCCTCGGCCCCTTCACACCAAGGCTCCCTCTGCGGGATGGGCAGGTGCTGAGGGGACACGCTGCCTTTCCTGGGATGCCCCCAAGGAGGTCCCCCGACAGGAGGGATGCTGCCTACTCACATGCAGGCCTTCACCCCCGGATGGCATGCTGACCAGCCAACGAATGACCCCCAGGGCATTTCCAGACGGGTGCTGAAATCATCGCACACGCACGCTTTCCACCTGTTACGTGAGTGAGTGGCACTTGGTCAGGGGAAACGGCTGTCGTCAGACAGACTGCTGAGCTACTTGTGCCCGGAGCTGGGCTTGGGCACCAAGTCGGCTGCAAATAACCAGGAGGGACTCTGATTCCCAGGTGCCACCAAGTCCTGGATGGAGAGTAAAGAAATCAGGGCCAGAAAAAGATTTGAAGTTTGAAAGTAAAATTATACGTGTCACATGTGAACAAGTGTCTAACATCCAATCTCTTGGGAAAACCAGCATCTCCAACCCGGCTCACCTTCCACTACTCTCCGCGCTGCAGCCAGCAGCAAGGCCATGCCCATGTCGGCCGTGGGGACGCAAACAGCCTGCGGCGTGTTGGCCACCTTCACGCCAAAGCTGGCCAGGAGCTTCAGGTCCAGGTGGTCTATGCCGGCTCCCGAGTTGGCAACGATCTTCAAGGCGGGCAGGCCCTGCAGGAGCTCCTCATTGATAGCGGGCTTTCCGATCCACATATATATAGCCTGGATCTTGGGACCCAACTCCGTTTTATTTTCCAGAAATTCTTGCACGGTAATGAGATTAAAGTGTTTCCGCAGCTCTCCAACATGGTCTTCACATATACCAGATGGCCCTTCAAATCCAGACACCAAAACTCTTGGTAGGTCCTGATTCCCCATGACCTGCAGAAAGACAACCGGGATTTCTGCTGTCAACACAGAGTCTGTGAGAGAGCAGCCTGTGTGCACCCCAGCTCCTCAGGTTTTCTAAGCTACAACTGAGGTTGGAATTCATTCTGAAAGTCAGTAGACCCAGAGCTCTGAAGACACCCGCCCAGTCCTCACACCCGCCTGGGAGTGACTCCAGCCGTGGAGTGTGCTTCCCCACGAAGAGAAGATGGCTGAGCTGTGCGGCTGGTGAGCGCTGCCCGCCCGCACTCTCCCTGCGCAGGGAGGCGGCCTGGGCAGAGGCCGAGGCCGAGCTTGGAAGCAGGTCTAAGAGGTCTGCCCCCACCCAGCCGAGCCGTGCAGTGCCGCAGCCCCGGTCACACCTCAGTTCGAATTTCCAGAGACCCTGAGCCACAGTCTCCCAGGTGAGCCACTCCTGGGTTTCTGGCCTGAATGCCTAGGAAAGAGCAGGCTGTTTGTTTTTTCCAGCCACTAAAATTTAGAATAACTTGTATTATAGCAGCAATAACTAATAAAATTAGTTAAAAAATTAACTAATTTTAGTTAATTTAAACTAATTAACCAATTTTGGTTGATTTAAACTACATTAACCAATTTTAGTTAATTTAAACTACATTAACCAATTTTAGTTCATTTAAACTGCATTAACCAATTTTAATTTAAACTACATTAACCAATTTTAGTTAAACTACATTAACCAATTTTATTTAATTTAAACTACATTAACCAATTTTAGTTAATTTAAACTACATTAACCAATTTTAGTTAATTTAAACTAAATTAACTGAAACACTGGGTGTGGACAAAAAAAAAAGGGTTCTGGAAAAAGTAACCTGACAGGGTGCTCTGGTCCCAACTTCCCAGCTTGGCAGACCACACCCCAGGCCTGTAACATTTTGATCAAAAGGCCTGTCTTTGCCCTAAGAACACCCTGCCCGTTGTTTGCGGTTGTTTGCGGTTGTTGGCGTGTGTCTAGGTTAACGGAACCTTGAATGCCAGATGAGTGCTATTTTTCAGGCCCCTCGCAGCGTGACCGCCCTCGGGAGAGGCCCCGTTTGGCAGCTCCCCTCTAACCCACCCACTCTCTCCCACACCCGTTTAACCTTCCCTCCGTTCCCTGCTCGGCTCCAAAGGCATGAAAAACCTGAAAACTGTCATTCTGGGGGGCACCGGAGATCTCGCCTCCCGGCAATCGTCGGATTCGGCTCAAATAAACTCTCATTAAAATTCTCTACAGGTTTGGAAGTTACAGCGGCCATTTTTTTACTGTGAAAATAAAATATTTTTGTTATCTGTCAAATGACTTAAATAAGGTTTTATGTTTCATGTCACTCACTAAAAATAAGGCATTTCTCACATTCTATAGCCTTCCTCCAAAGTAAAGCTATTTGTTTCAAGAACCGAGGCCTATGAACGCATTTTATCTTTGTGTCGTGACTTAGCCAAAAACGTTTAAAGCTTAAAACGTAATTGGTTTAAAATTTTCTTGGACTCTAAGTAAAAGGCTGAAAGACCTTTATTCACGGTAAGAAGATTTTCGTTTCCTTTCGCAGAGAGGCGGCCTGAGTCCTGGCCACTCCGTCTTCGCCTTTCCCGAGCACTGGCCGGAGAACCCCGGCGCACATCCCTCGCGCCAGGATCGCCCGCGTCTCACGTGGAAAAGGTCCAAGAGCCTCCCAGCGCCTCGCGGCGGCCCCGGGCGCTACGAGCGGGCGAGAGTCCCGCCGGGAGCCGCGGACCGCCGGCCGCAGGGCTCGCGCCTTCCTCGGCCGCTGCCCCGCCCCGCCCCGCCCCCGACCGCCGGCGATCACGGCCCGGAGTCCCGCGAAGGAGCCTGAGACACCGGAGGCGCCGGGCGACGGCCCGAGCGGTCCCGGCCGCATAAGGGACCCAAGAGATTCCGACAGGCCGCAGGCGTCACGGAGTCCGCGGGGTCTGTCGGCGAGGCCGGCGCGCACGAGAACCGCAGTCTGCGCCGTTCCGGACGGTTCCTGGAGTCGGCAGGCACCACAGAGCCGATGGCGTTTAAAGCCGGGGCCGCCGCGCTGCGTCTCAGCAAAGCCAGCTGCCACTCCCCCAAACACCGGGTTCACGTAACGAGGAACTAAACCCCCCGGCGGCTGCGGCTCCGTCACTGAGCACCGGCCGCGACCGAAAAGGCCGCGCGCGCCCGGGTGGCGGACCAGGCCCCCGGCTGGGAGCGTGCGAGAGACGCCGGGGCGCTCGGACGCTTCCCGCTTTCTCCCTCCCTTCCCCTCTCTCTGAGCGGAAATACACAAAACCTTTAAAAATAAAAAACTACAATCTGAGGCGTGTATCCCAACCTTACCCCTTAGAGCTTAAAGTGCCATTGCCTGAAGCGTAGAAAGAGACACCTGTCCAAACCGAGCGTTACGCTCCGGCGGAGGCCCCCGCAGCGCCTCGGCCTCCCTTAAGCCTGGCCACGTTGCATTTTCCCTGGAAAGTCCTTCGGGGCCCTCCGCTGCGGGTCGGGAGGGGCCTGAGGGTTCGCAGGACGGGGCCTGTCCCAGGCCAGGTCCGGGGCCACAGCCACCCCCGCGGCAGAGCTCCGTCCGGTCTGCCGCCCTCACCCCGGCAGGCTGGGGGCACACTTACCTTCTCAACGGACCGCAGACCTGGGGGATACGCGGGTGCAACGCAGCCGTCCCGACGCGCTCCTCACGCGGAACGCCATGGCTGAAGGGGCACAAGACCTCGCACCTGCCATCACACCACACCAATCCCCGCCTCCGCCCCTGCCCGGCCCCGCCCCCGCAGGGACCAGCAGGACCGCCCCCTGCTCTTCGGGCCCCACCCCGGCCCCGCCTCTGCCGAGACCAAGAGGCCCCGCCCCCATTTTAGTTTCCTGCTGGAGCGCCTGGGAAGTGGTGGCTGGGGCGCACCGGAAGTGCCCTTGCGTGCTTCCGTGCGTGGGTACGGTGGCTCAGGAGGGTTTGGGAAGGCACCTCCTTCCGGACCGTTTGAAGAAGCTGGGGCGGGACAGGGAGGGGCCTGGGCGGAGGGTCGAGTGGCGGGCGTGGCCCCAGCGCCGCGGGAGCGGAGGCGGGGGCGAGACTGCCCGCCTCCGAACCAGGAATCCGGGGGCTTCAGGAGCAGGTTTAAAGTCGTGCATGTGGTTACCGTGATTTCAAGTCCATATGTTTATGATAAATGAAAGGGTTTTAATAGGTTTGGTTACGACAAAGATTAAAATGTTGTTTTGACGTAAGAATGAAGTCGTGCTACCTCTGTTGTCTTTGATGGGCAGCAGCCCAGCTGCTGGAGCGGGCCGGTGCTCTTGGGTAAGAACACGTGGAGGAGCCACTGTATGGCCGGGCGGCATTTAGGCTACGGGCGCTGGGAGTTGGTGAGAACTATCTGAGAGCTTTGGATCATGTGAGGCGACTCCTCGAAAAATCTCTCCGAAGACCCTTGGGGCGTTCCCTCTGAACTGTAGCGATAAACCACCGGGCCCACCTACCAACACTGCAAGGTTGCACAATGCAAGAGCAGGATGCAAAAGTCAATTTTGCTTCTATACTCTAGTTAGGAATAATCTGAAAATATTTACAATTATTTAAATACCATCAAAAATAATAAAATACCTAGGAATATAAGTATTCCAGTCCAAGATGTGGACACTGGAAACAGTCACAGAAATTAAAAAAGACCAATAAATGTAAGGAATCCCATATGCATGCATTGGAAGACAATCTTAAAATGGTAATACTCCCTAAATTAGTGTACAGGTTCAACAAAATCCCTACCAAAATCCCCAGCTGCCTTTATTGCTGAAATCGACAAACTAACCCTAACGTTCATACGGAATGCAAGGGACTCAGAAAAGCCAAACCAGTCTTGAAATGAAACAAAACTGCAGGACTCACTTCCTGATTTCAAGACTTGCTACAAAAGCTTCATGAATCAAGACAGACTGACAAAAGGCTACATGTAAAGATCAATGGAGAAGACTTGACGCTACAGAAATAAATCCTTGCATTTAAAGTCAGTTGATTTTCAACCAGCATGCTAGGGCAATTTGATGGGGAATGAATAATCTTTCCAATAAACGATGTGGGACAACCGGATACCCACATGTAAAAGAATACTTGGACACCTAACACACAAATATTACCTCAAAATTATCATAGGTGCAAATGTAAGAAAAGAATAAAACTCTTAGGAGAAAACAGGAGTAAACATTCATGATCTCGGTTTCTTAGGTATGACACCAAAGGCGCAAGCAACGAAAGAAAAATAAATAAATTGGACGATCAAAATGTAAAACTTGTGCTACAAATAATACCAATAAAAAGTAAAAAGTCAATCCACAGAATGGGAGGAAATTTTTATTTTATATATATATGTATTTTATCCTCACCCGAGGACATTTTTTCATTGCTTTTAGAGAGAGAGAGGAAATGAGTGTGCGAGGGAAACATCTATCGGTTCCCTCCCGTGGGTAGGCGCCGGAGGTGGGATCGAACCCGCAAACTAGGCATGCGCCCTGACTGGGAATCCGACCCCCAATCTTTCCGTTAGGGATAATTTTCCCACCAACTGACCCACAACGCCCAGGGCGGGAATATTTTCATATATGTCTGGTGAGCCTTACGCATTAGTTTGGAGTATTTTTCTGCTAATAAACTGCTTTTGGCAAGTAGAGCAGCGTGTTTACGTCTGGAAAGTGTGATGCCAAAATGATTCTTTTGGGGCCTCCGTGCAGCGACCGGGACAGACTCCTCCCGGGTCAGTGCGGCTGCGCGGTGAAGCCCGGTCAGGTTTCAAACAGCCCAGCCCTTCGGACCGCGGAGCGTTCCCATCAAAACCCGACTCTCCGCGTCGCCCGGAGACCACTCACCGGCCCACGCAGCTCCAGCGCGGACGCGCGCGCGCAGGCGGACGCACGCAAGGCGGGCACGCGCACGCTCACGTCGGCGCGCTTGCCCGCCGCGGCCGCTGTGTTGGAGCCCCGGAGTCCGCCGAGGTCTGTGCGGGCCGGGATCTGGGATCGTGGTCCTGGGAGGGGGCTGGAGGGGTCCGGGCCGGGGTTCGGGAGTGGGGTCCTGGGAGGGAGCGGGGCCGGGCGTGGGGTTCGAGGCCGGAGGGGAGCGGGGCTCAGGGCGGCAGCGCCCCCCGCTAGCGCCGCGTGCTGTGGCAGAGCCGGAAGCAGCTCGACCACCGAGTTCCTCTCCCGCAGAGGCCAGCAGAGCCGCCAGCATGTCGTACATGCTCCCGCACTTGCACAACGGCTGGCAGGTGGACCAGGCCATCCTTTCGGAAGAAGACCGGGTGGTCGTCATTCGGTTCGGGCACGATTGGGACCCTACGTGCATGAAAATGGACGAGGTTCTGTACAGCATCGCGGAGAAGGTAGCGCGGCCCCGCCCCCGGGGCGCTGCAGTCGTTCGGTGTCTACTGCCTGGCCTTCGCCAGTGGGCAGGGAGTTGAAAAGCGAGGGCAAAAGCTGCAGCCCGCCCTCGCTCTTCGTGCCTTCGTTTCCAGTGTGACACCAAGTGAAGAGAGGACCTGCGCTGGCCTGGCGACGAGCGCTCTGAACTTGTGCACAACGGCTTCTGCCTTTTTTTGGGAGAAGTGCCCACCCATTTCCAAGTTTAAAGATGTTCATGGTCCCTCTCTCTAGATAAATAACTTAATTCCTAGTGATTGTGTGTTTTTCAAAATTTCCATCTATAGTCGCATGAACACAACACATTTGCAGACTTTGGCAAGAGCGTTGGAGTTCCCTTTTAGAAGCTTAGTTTAAAAGATTGTCACTTTTTTAGTACCATGTTTATTTGCAAAGTAGGACGTTTATGTTCACGGCACGGCGGTCCTGGTCTTTTCTTTCTTCCTCTTCCTTAGCCCTGCCGCGCTCTTTGTGGGTCGCCGTGTGCGTAGCCCACAGCGATTTACGTGCAGGGGCAGCTGGAGAAGGCAGAGCGGGGCTTTGTGAGATCAGGTTTTCCCGACGTTTCACTGCTGTCTGGGGCGCTTGTGTGCAGACAGTAAGAGTGCGGGTGTGCGGGTGGGGACGTCACGGTGCAACCAGGGCCTCCCTTCTCTCTCAAATTTCCTCGTGGCGATTTTAAGATAACTCTGATTTGGATTTTTGCAGTTGTAGCAGTAGAACGAAGGCAAATATATTTGGGTTTAGTGAAATAATGAACTTATTACTAATTTATGAATGGTCCGAGAGGTCATTCATTGGATTGAAAAGTAAAATTGGATACATGGAAACCGTCTTCTCTTTCATGGGAATAGGAGACGCTGATACAGCCTGGGTTAAAATGGTACTTCGAGTCCATAGTAACAGGTAAAGGTGCGTCCTGTACTTAGAAGAAAGCTGATTTTTACAGCCTGCTGTTTGGTGGGGGAGGCAGCGTGAGGCGGGGCGGCGGCCCCGTGGACGTCGGCCCCGTCTTCCACGAGCGAGCGGCATCGGCAGCGACGCGGGGGCCTTGCCGAGCGCGTCGCCAAGATTCTGACTCTGAGGCTCTGGGGTGAGGCCCAGGAAGGGCTTCTTTAAGAAGCTTCCCTGGGGATCGCGACATGACTTCCAGAAACCCCTCAGCGGAGTCCTGGGTCCGAGTGTGAGTGCGGCGCTGGTCAGCCGCTCCCAAGACACTGAGGAGCCTGAGGAGGGGCCTGGGGGCCTGGGGAACCTTGAGTTGAGGTGGTGCTGGGGGCCTGGCCGCCATTGCAGCTGCCGTCGTCAAGGGCGATGCTGCGGGGCTCAGGGGAGCCTCTACTGAGCCCCTCCCGGGTAAGCAAATCATCAGCGTGCTGACTCCCAAGTAACCTAGGGTGTGGGTTCTGGATTCTGCCCTGCAGGTGGCGGGGAGAGGTGGTGGCCGGCTGTGAGACGCAGGACAGAGTGGGGGTCAGCGGTCAGGCCGAGCCGGGTTCCGCCACTTACGGCCTGTGTGTCCTGGAGTCTGTAGGGAAGGGGCGCCAGGGCTGAACCCACAGGTGGCCGTGGCAGCAGCGGTGACGGAAAGGCTTGCAGGACGCCTCCCGTCACAGAGCACGGGACCGGTTCCCCAGCCACTAGGCGCCATTATTGTTACCGCCTCATGTCGCAAAGCTCGCAGCAGTTGTGAGCGGGGCCAACCTGGGTACGCGGTTTTAGAAAATAAAGCCACCGTGTGATATTTTTAGGGATTTGAAATGAATTGCCTAGAAATGTAAGAACGAGCCAGCGGGCCGTGACGACCGTGGTTCGGGTGCTGCAGGCGGGCTCTCAGCTCGGAGGGCGCGGTGGGGGTCGGCCGCCGCGCTGACGGGAAGGCGGCCCGTGCGGCCCTGGGGCTGGAGAGGAGGTTTCCCCCTGGGGGCGACCAAAAGATCATGCATGTTAAAAACAGCTTGGTGATGAAAATGAAATTTGTACATATGGTTCACGTTTAAAAAAGAATACTATTCAACAACCAGTTAAGATGACTACAGTATAGTAGGCAAGTATTTTAGGTATGGTAAATTTATGCAAATAAGTTTACAGTCCCATTTGGAAAGACGATTTTCATGGGTCAATGGGAAAAGAATGTGAAAAAAAGGAAATTCTAGTGGTTAAGTAGTCTTCAAAGAAACACACAAAAACGGCACTGTCGTTTCTGGGGCACATCAGAGACAGAGAGGCAAACAGGTGCGGCAGCGCGGGGCGCGTCCCGGCTGTGAGGTTCAGGCGGCGGGGCCGGCGCTGCGCGAGGGGCCTGACCCGCCGTCACCCTGTCCCAGTGCCTGGCCCCTCAGGAGGCGAGGCTCTGTGCCCCACGAGACGGTGGCTGTCATTCACAGGGACAGCGGAAACAGCCACAGTGTCCGAGGAGGGGAAGCGCTGAGGCCAGGCCCTCCCGGGGGTCCCGGCAGTCGTCTGTCCGGGCGTGGCCATTGGGAGTTAAACTGGAAACGTGCACCCTGCCAGGTGGAATGCCACTTTATGTGGCCAGTAAAGACGACTTTCTCCCAAAGGAGGTGGGGGACGGTGGTGTCGCCGGGGAAGCAGAGAGCACAGGACGCAGCCGTTCGGTGAACCACTTCCGTGATGTAGCCGTGAACGCGGTGTGTTTGTCAAGTTCGATATGTACGAGAATGCTTGTAATTAAAGCTGGGTGCTGAATATTGTACCTGTACGATCACATTTTGTCAAAACAGTATAAACAGCTTTCTATTCATTTTTTAAAGATTTTTATTTTTATTTTTTTTAGAGGGCAAGGGAGAGAGAAAGAGAGGGAGAAAAACATCAATGTGTGAGAAATACACCAATTAGTTGCCTCTTGCAAGCCCCCAAGTGGGTTTCTGGCCTGCAACCCAGGAATGTGCCCCAGCTGGGAATTGAACCAGCGATATTCCGGTTCCCAGGCCGGCACCCAGTCCACTGAGCCACACCAGCCAGCGCTGAACAGATTTTTAAAACATAAATATATATACACGCACACGCACATGCACATACAGACACATACCAGCAAAAAATGGGGGGGAAATATACTACAAATACCTTTGCAGCAGTTAACTTTGTGCTGGTATTGAAGGTGATTTTAGTTTTCTGGGTTTTCTAAATCTTCTCTGATGAACTTGCAGTTGAAGAAAATTTGACCCCTGGCTGGTGTGGCTGAGTGGATTGAGCCTGCAAACCGAAAGGTCGCCAGTTCGATTCCCAGTCAGGGCACGTGCTTGGGTTGCAGGCCAGGTCCCCAGCAGGGGGCGCGTGAGAGGCAACCATACGTTGATCTTTCCCTCTCCCTCCCTTATCTGTCTATAAATTAAAATATTTTAAAACAGAAAATTTGGTATATATGATATTACTTGGGGTACTAGTCTTCCAGTATTTACAAGAGTTGAGACCTAAGCACATGAGGAATGTATAGCTGAATTCCAAAGCATGTTATAAAGCCATTGTTCAGTGCATGTTATTAAGTATTTATAAAAATACTGGTTCGGAAAAGTTCATATAGATTATTGCGAGATCAGCGTGAATAATACATCTGTGGACATTTTCTGCAGGTTCTTGTAACTTGCTCTTCTGAGAAACAGTAGCGGGAGGTGTAGGTGGCCGATTAAGTGCTTGGAATCTCGAGCTTGTTGGGTTATTTTTCTGTGTTAATGCCACTGGGGAAAATGTTGGAGAGTTAGTTTGGAAATTGTTCTGTTATATACAGACGGTGGTTTTTATGTTTAATGTACTTTTACGGAATAAACAATCAATTTGTTATTTTAGATGTTTTTTAATCTTCTTTACTTTTAGGTTAAAAACTTCGCAGTTATTTATCTTGTGGATATTACGGAAGTACCCGACTTCAACAAAATGTATGAGCTGTATGACCCGTGCACCGTCATGTTCTTCTTCAGGTGCGTCCTCGTCTCTGAAAGGCGTTTACGTTGAAGCTGCTAGTCTGGAAGCTTAGTGCAGTCGAGGCGCCTTTAGACTCTTTCTGTAGAAGGAAGTCAGCTACGCAGTCTTGTCACGCACGGACTGTGTCCCTGGCGACACAGTCCGTGTGATCTTTTGAGTGACTTCCAAAGGAGTAGTTCCCGTGCTAGCGTTTCCTCAGTGACAAATCACCCTCTTGAAATGACTGCCCGGAAACCTAGGTGAGGCAGGCTTACATGGAAGGCACTCTTACTGACATTTAAGGTGCCTTTAAATAGCCTGTTGGTGGAAACTGTTTTGAAATAACTCACTTTTAAAATACGACGTGAGTGACTATTTAGCGTTCTTTGTGATACCTGTACTTAATTTCTTTGCTTGTAAGATTACTTTATCCGCTTAAACATTCTGTTGTGGGCCCAAGCCTGTGAATTACTGGCATGAAGAATGGAATTTCTCTAACTGCCTCCGATGAATTTGATTCCACAACTTACAGCTTTGCTTTAAAGGAGACAGTGGGGGCGGACACCAGCCAGGGACACGGGCCAGGTGCAGGCACCACATACATGTGGTGGTATTTATGTCGTAATAAAGTCAAGTCACAACATGAATGAAAAAGTAATTGTTGGGGAGGCTTATTTGGAAGGAAATCGCCCTCTGACACTGTTGTACTTGCCTAAATGTCTCACTCTTGCTGCTGCAGCAGAAGTCGGTGGGCAGCAGACTAGGGTCTGCCGCACGCACAGAGCCTGTCTTGGCGAGGACGGTCCCGGTGGGCTGTGCAGGGTTTGTATCAGCTTCGTATCCCGTGGGACCAGTTAGCAGAGACTCCGTGGCTGCGAACAGCGCGTCTGTGAGCTTGGGGCTCTGCAGGTTCTCTCGGGGCAAGTCGGTTGGGGAAGGACCCGCGAGGCTCGCCCAGCTTGTTGATTGGACCCACGGCCGGTCGCCGGGGACCGGAGCCGCAGCGGTGGGCGGTTTCCATGGGGTCCCTTCGGAGGCTCTGACGAGCATTGCCCATTCCTTCCACAGGAACAAGCACATCATGATCGATCTGGGCACCGGCAACAACAACAAGATCAACTGGGCCATGGAGGACAAGCAGGAGATGATCGACATCATCGAGACTGTGTACCGGGGCGCCCGCAAAGGCCGGGGCCTGGTCGTGTCCCCGAAGGACTACTCCACCAAGTACCGCTACTGAGCGCCTGCCGCAGGCTGGGCGTGCTCGCCCGGGAGGCCCTTCTCGTGGCGATGCCGTGAACTCAGGACCCGCGAGGAGCGGTCTGGGGAAGGGCACGAGGGCCGCGCGGCCTCGGCCGGGAGTCGGCCTGGCGGCGGCACTTCCATGTCCACCAGTGTCTGTGAATACCCGGTGGAAGTAAACGTGCGCGGTGACAGGCGTGTCCCAGTGTTTGTTTCTTGTGCAGGTCGCTGGTTGTGGAAGAACCTAATTCTTTAGCCTGGAGAGACGGGCGGGGCGTCCTGTGGCTGCTCCACGTTGCACTCATGGCGGCGAGGTCCCCGCCTCCCGGGCTGCTGGGATGCGGGCCACAGCCTCGGCCCCTCGGCAGGCGCCTGTGTCTCCCCAGCCGGAGGCTGGGTGTCCAGGGACCAGGCGCCTCCCAACCCACCCCAGTCTCCGCCTCCTCTTTTCGAGGCCTCTTCCCCAAGTTACATCTGTGTCCACATTTCCTTTTCTTTTTTTAAAAAGTTACTTTTAGAGAGAAACATCACTTTGTCGTCCCACTTATTGATGCATCATTGGTTGATTCTTGTGCCCTGAGGACCGAACCCACAACCTTGACGTATTGGGACGATGCTCTAACCAACTGAGCTCCCCGGCCAGGGCTAAGTGTCACCTTGTTATGAGGACACTCATCCTGGGATGAGGGCTGCCCAGCTCCAGCATGACCTCATCTTAACTAATTACGTGTGTAGCAGTCCCGTTCCCGCAGGGTCACACCCTCAGGTCCTGGGGGTCAGGGTTACCAACGTGTGTGTCGGGGGTTGGGGGTTGCGTGCAGTTCAACCCACAACAGAATCCAAGCGTGTCTTCTGGGCATAAAAACAGTGCAATAAAATAACTTGGTAGGCCTTTCTTTAAATACAAAGAGTGAGCTGCTTCTTAACTCCTCTTAAGGTTGTATCTAACACACTGTTCTCCGCAGAGTCCATGAACCCTCGGCCTCCACATCAGGCTTGAGTTTCTCCTGAAGCTGCCCAGGAGCAGGGTGGTGGCGTGCGGGGGGCACAGGGTGGGGGCACCTGCAGCCGCACCCCTTCTGGTTTCACAGCAGGGGCCCTGCCACGTCCTGAGAACCTGGGCAAGAGGCTCAAGTCCTGGAGCTCCCGAATGAGAAGGAACGACGGACCGGTCAGAAGGCTGGAGATGTCCCAGCGACTGGGTACCCTGTTGGCAGCCGCGCGCCAGCTCCCAGACGTCCGCCCACGTCGCTGAGTGTGCGCGGGAGCCTCACGCCAACCTCCAGGCTTGTAAATCCTGCCACAGCAGCTTCGTCTTCCCCAAACAAGGTGTGACGGCACGCCAGCTCCAGGACGGCGCTCCCGTGTCTCACGTGCTGCCGGTGGCTTAGACGTCGTGCCCCAGGACCTGGCCTTTTTCTGGCAGAGGAGGCATGGATGCTGGTGCTCGTTACGGATTATTTGTAGTAGCAAGAAAGCGGGATAGGACCTCAGTGTCTGAGATGACAGGCTGTGAGTCGGCAGTAAAGTGTGTGTGAGATGCTCACCTAGGAAAACATCCGTGATGTGAAAGGAAAACAGGATATTGGATTATAAACAATACCCTCAGCTGTACAGAATTGGCTGAAGAAAATGTTGAGGTCTGACCGCTGTGGCTCAGGGGGTTGGGGCATCGTCCTATGCACCGAAGGGCCCCGCGATCGATTCCCGGTCAAGGCACATGCACGGGGGTTCAGTCCCTGATTGGGGCACGTGCAGGAGGCAGCCGATCGTTTCCCTTCCCCTCTCTAAAATCAATAATTCAGAAAAAAAGGAAAAAATGTTGATGGTTAATCTCAATTGTACAATTTGGTAGATTTTGACTTGAATGATGAATGTGATTTATACACAGTAATAATGTTATTTTTTACAACGAGAACCTATAACTGACCCCTTTTGGGGGTGATGGGGTTGATTTCACTCTGGCTCGAGTGAGGGGACTGGGTGATCGTATGAAACCTTGTCCCCGTGACCTGCAGAAACCCCGCTGCTGCCCGCCTCCACGGGGCGAGCGGCAAGGGACCTCGGGAGTCGGCCCGCAGCGCCCTGGACGCGCCCGCCTCAGCGCTCGTCCGGTTGGTTCGGAGCGCGCCGCGCTCAGAGCCAGCCCGCGCGGGGCAGAGCAGAGCCAGTCTTCCCCGAACGGGTGCGACTGGGCCTGCGGGCTGATGCCGCCGTTGGAAAAGCGACTCCTGACTCCTACCGGGAACGAGCTTACGGTCTTTCTAAGCAGAGCTGCACAGAATTCAGTTAAAGAAAGCGACCTCCCACAGCTCCTGATTCACAGGCTGTTAGGTGCGGGTGGGGGCGTGTCCTGCCGTTTGGCAGACATCCTTGTTACGTGGTTTGTGGCCTTCGGAATTGCATTCTTAACATGTTACCTTTGTCTTAGTCTTTCATTTTACGAAAATGAAATTTCAAATGCTAAAAATCAGAACTCAGGTTATGTAGATTATTAAGAAGTACTAGTTTCATTTTATCACATTTTCAAGTGACTGGTCCACCATCTGCAGGTGTAAGGAATCACTTGGAAAGAGGTGAAGACCTACTTGTGTACCAACTAATGCACAGTTAAATAACCTGGAGTCCAAGCCTCCAGGGAAGGTACCTTTACTCCCTGCGGTGACGCCGCCGCCTTCTGTGTGGGGAGCATTCAGTGAGCAGAAAGTGTAATGGGGAGCGAGTCCTTTTCAGCTGGGCGGGGTCCGCGGGGGCTCCCTGTCAGGGCCAGCAAACGCTGCGCTTCGCATCTACCTTCCGTCGCCGGCGCCACAGGTGTCCGGAGCTCCCGCTCCTGTCTGTCGAAGGGAACATGGTAAAGGTGCTACAGGGGTAGATGAACACGGAGCCAGACCAAGAGCCAGGTCTCTCCGAATGGAGCGGTCGTTTCTGCCACTTGGGATGAGGGACTCTCCTCCCGTTCACAACGCCCACAGCAGGAACCCGCGTCGGGGGGGTCCGCAGAATCCCCTGAAACCCGCAGCATGAGCCCTGACCTACCATCACCAACAAGCACAGGTTCAGCCAAACGAAGCCTGAGCCTATTTAGGCCTTTCAATGTGAAAGGCTTTGACGGTGTTTGAACAAACTTTCAGACACCTGGTGCCGCCTCTGCTGCCTGAAAGAACGGCTGCATGTGCCACAGAGTGCGGTGTTGGCACGCACTTCACCATTTAATTTGATGCCCAGGAGGAGGCAGGTTTCAACCAAATTTAAAACCCTGCTGGAGTCTAGGTGATGGGGGGAAGGGACTGCGTTCCTGCACTGCCACCCTGTGCTTGGGCTGTGCCAGCCGGGGGCCCTGAAGGACCCGGCCCCCCCGTCCCTGCCCTCAGGCGCTGGCTCGTCACCAGCGAGCGCTCAGGTGAGGGACGCAGTGTCCAGGGGCCCAGGCGGGACTGCTGGGCAGGTGGGCCGCCTGATGCAGCCTCATGAGGGACAGGCGTGTCCTCACGCTACGGATGGACCTTGAGCGCCCTCCCTGGTGTTCTCCAGACGGAGGTGTTCATGGCACGGGGTGGGCCGGCTCTGATTCAGCAGGAGCAGGAGAGCACGGGGAATTTGCCAGAGGATGTAGGGTAACAGCTGGCAAAGAAATGGGACCAGGAAAACAAAGGCATCTAGTTATTAAAACACACTCATATAATTGGAATCCGATGCCCGTAAAATGTGCCTACGTAGGTATCCTGATGAAGTCGTGCCTCCCCAGCCGCATCACATGGGCGTGGACTCTTCTGAGACCTGAGGCTGAGCATTGCTGTGCATCTCAAGACTCAGTGCAAACTTCCACCGGGAAGGACATGGTTTGTGTGGTGGGGGGCCCGGTGGGGTCCTGGCGGCTCTGGAAGAGGGTGAGGGTTAAGGGAACGTTCCTTTAAATGGTCCCGTGGGCGAACTGCCTCACAGAGAAACCGCTCGTGATAACCCCCAATGTCTAAATCACTGTGACTTGTGTTTTGCCTAAAGATTAATGTGAGGCATGGGAGTAAAAAGTACTTCGATAAAATCCAATTTTTAAATAATAAAGTTTTTCATTAAAAATGTGCACTTCTAAAGGAATATGATAAAGTGTTAAATTGGTCTATTAAAAAATTTTTTTACTTACTGATTTTGAGAGAGAGAGAGAGAGAGAGAGAGAGAGAGAGAGAGAGAGAGAACAGCATCGATTTGCTCAGTGGTGGTTTCTCGTTTGTGCCCTGGCTGGGGATCCGACCTGAAACCTTGGCACATGAGGATGACACCCTCACCCACTGAGCTGCCTGGCCAGGGCTCAGTGGGTCGATTCAGACAGGGAGCATTTGAGAAAGATTTGTTATTCCTGAAGGTTTTTCATGTGCAAAGGCAGCGAACCCCATTGTGAGCAGAGGTGGGAGTGTATTTGCGAAGACGAGAGCGGTCGCAGCCTCTGCACAAGGTGAACCCAGTCTCCCAGGGGCAGCCTCACCGGCCGCCCTCCGGTCCCTTCTGCGACCCCGGCCTGCACCATCAAGTCGCAGACGTTCCTCTGCAAGGCCTGCAGGCGGCTCCCCATCTCTTCCAGTTCCGCGTTAAGGAGCACAAAGCTGGGCCAGAGAGCCGGCCCCCGCCTGCAGCTGGTGGTCCGCGGTCGGACGCAAACGCCCTGGCTGCAGCCTGTGAGGCCCCGGGGGACGGAGCAGTGTCTGTAACCTTTGAACCGCGAGCTCAGCTCCGGAAGCTCGGCTCTGCAGCCGTGAGTACGGCTGCGGGGACGGGACGTAATCTGGTGCGTTCACTGTCTTAACCAAACTCTAACAGGGAGGCAAATACAATGGAAACTAATTCCATTTACCGTGTTTAAGGTGCAAACACTTTGCACCCAGCTTTGAAGGAGTGACTACCTGTGAGAAAGGTGCTCTGGTTGGGCAGGTCCGACTCCTGTCTGGATTGGCTCAAACGGGAAACAAACATCTCCCCCAGCTGTGCCCGAATTCCGGTCCTAACAAAACGGCCAGCTGCTCAAGTTTGAAACAAGACAGGTAAGGGTGCCGGGGGCGTGCCCAGGTGGGAGGCCTTCAGTGTCCGGTCTGGGGGCCTCCAGCGCCTGGTGGAGTGTGAGGCCGCGGAGCGGACTCACTCAGGCTTGGTGGGAAGGCCCAGCCAGACAGTCCCGGGCGGCGTGGCCACATATTTTATTGCCACACAAACACACCTTGTGCTGCCAGTCAAGCAGGAAGAAACACCTGTGACTGGTAATTAGCACATCTGGACATCCGGAGGCCCCGTACGGGCACAGGTGTAAACAGGAAACCCTAGGTCGGAAACTCCACTAAAAAGCTATGCCACGATAATGTACCAGTTCAAAGCATCGCCATTTTTGATACAAAATAGAAAAGGATATTTTTGAGATTTAAGGTTGCAGCCAGAGCTTGAAAATGTTCTTGAAGTTCCTGGAACAGACTGTCTACCTGAAAAAATGAACCGTAACACAAGGAAGACACTCACTCCTGGTGTCGGGATAGAACCGGCCGGGCGCGCAGCTCATTGTTTCCGATCAGTAACGGGGGACAGCGACCAAGCTGGCGGCCCCTCCCTCGCACCGCGCCCTGAAACCGACCCTGCTCCTGATTGTGGGCGCCAGGGCAGGCTGCGCCCGGGAAGGCGGGCGGCCCCGGGGTTGAGCGACGCGCTCTCCGACCACCCGGGGCGGGCGCGCTCCTCACACCGGCGTCGCCGCCCCAGGCCCCGGACGCTGAGTCGCGGTGTGACGGCCGGGCCCACGGCCAGCGCGCCGCCCCCCCCGCCCGGGCCTCGCAGGTGGGAGAACCTGCCACAGCCGCGAACCCTCTTCTCACACGGCGGAGGGGGGACCTTTAAATGGGGCTTCCCGGTCGCTCCGGGCACAGCCTTCGCTTGCGGGGCGGGGGGGGGGGTGCAGGCGCAGCGGGGCGCCCCGGGGGCGCCCCCCAACAAGAGGCCCGCGGGTCCCCACCCC